AGAGGTCAGAATAAGGTGTTGGATCCCCTGGAACTGGAATTATGGATGGCTGTTAGTCCCAGGTGGGTGCTGGTAATCAAACCCAGGTTCTCTGCAAGAGCAGCCAGTGCTTTTAACCACGGAGCCATCTTTCCAGACTTGGGTATACTATAAATTTAGAAAGGAGAACAATAAAAGGAATTTTTTTAAAAGCATAAATTGGATCATGTCTATAGTACACTTTGTGTAAGCCCCTTGAATTGTATCTCAAGACACAACACACATTTCATAAACAAGCCCTTACATGGTATTGTCTGCATGCAACCCATGAGAGACTGTTATCTTCCAGGGAAATCTGAATTTTAATTTTTTTTTTCATTCATTGAATACTTCAGTATGCTGCAATTTTTTGTAAATGCTAATAAACTTTAAAAATTATACAATAAATACTATTTACTGTTTATCAGGGAAAGATTTTTAAAAAAAGAAAAAAAAAAGAGCAGGTATTTCCAGGAGTGCTGGGCTGTATTTCATCCTGGAATGGAAGCAATGGTTCTAAACACAAAACACAAGCACTTTGCAAAGCTTCTGAAACACAGCTCAGATTCAAAAGCATTGTGCATTATGAGTTGCAGCCTTTTTACCATCTATACAAAGTTTTCTCTTTATGGAAGCATGATGGTTTAATTACAGCAAACAAATACTTGAGATATTTCCTACATCATTCCTTAGAAATAAGGATCAAAGTAATATATCTTAAAATGGCACTGTTAGGATATTTGATTTTTTTTTATTTTTTAGAAGAAGCATTTCATTACAGCTTTAGCATACTCAATAACAATTTCCAGAGCAAAGATACATCTCTTTCAGAAGTGGCTATAAAATTTTTGAGCTATTACTTGAGTTTCATTTTTAAAAAAGTTCTTAAAATGAATTTTGCCTTAAAATTAGGACAAAGTTCCAACAATTACTGAAATGCCCCTAAACATACTTTTGCCATTTTGTACTACATATTTATGTGAAGCACCAACCATTATAAAAGCAAAATATTGATCATCTGAAATATATTGAAGAAGTTCTGTGTCCTTCAGTATCAAATATTCAGCCAAGATTTAATTCTTTATGTGAAAACAGAAAAGCATATCTGTCTCATTACTATGCAAATTTACTTTCATATTCCATAAATGGTAAAATTATATCTATCAAATAATTGCCTTGAATCAATTTCTTTAGGATTTACTATCAGTATTCAATTTGTATATCTCTTTTACATAGCTATATAGACCACTGTGCCATTTACTATTAAAGGCCACATTGTGGTGATGCTTCACAAGAAGATAGTCTGACTCTTAGTTCCATTTTAAGGCCAAGAGTGGACCTGAACTGCTGAGAGCTTGTTGCTTCAGATTTTTCTCAGAACTGTTCTCTAGAACAAGAGTCTGCTCTATGCTTCAATAAAGCAGTATCACCATCATGAAATTTGGAAGTAAAAATCTCATCCTAATTAGAGAATTTTGCCCTTTCTGATCCCTAGATCTAGACTAACACACACAATCATAAACAGATGTTATCAATTTTTCTCATTGTTTGCAATGAGATCAACACTGTAGCACTTGGTATATAAAGGAGTATGTGGTCATTCATACAGTGCTTTAAATTAAGGGCAAGGAAGGGTCATGAGAGACTAAGGTCATATGCCTTCGTCATATGTGGAGCACGTGGCTCAGTGATCTTGTCTATGTTATTAACAAGCTTAAGACAAAATTAACTTTTTGGTTGAAAGGTTAAGTAAAAGTCATTTGTTTATATTATAAAAGGCATTCCTATAAGCTAAGTAAAAATTTTTCAGGCCAAAAGGGCTCACAAGTAGAAAAAGTTTACAAAGCCCTATACTATAACTGTCTTGACAGTAGTCCTCTGTAGAATGCAGAAGTGTGTGGGTAAAGTTGCACCTCACAGTATTGGCTGGTTCTCAACTATCCTAGGGTTCATCATCAGCATTTTGTCTTAAAAGTACCACACCCGCCAAACCTCATTTCCCTCTGTAGAGTTGTACTTTTAACACTTTAACATGTTCCATCTTTTAGTAGAATGAATTCTGCAAATTTGCTTCCTACTATGCACTAAATTTCTTTTGTATTACAGAATTGCCTCTTCATTGCTTTCAAGGGGTCCCTAGTTCTTCTACACCAAAGAAGCTGAGCCAACAGCTTCAACGTACCTATTTTTGCACATTCGTTCATAACAAGTTCCTTTTCATGTCAATCTTTCCACCTCCTTGATCACTGGAGTGGCTCTTCTCTGATTATACTCAGTTGTACTGCAGAAAATGCCTAAAGACCCTAAGGAAATACAAGGCATTCAGTCAGTGAACATCCTAAACATTACTGCCTCTATTCAATCAAATCCACACCCTTCATGATATTTTCACTAACACTTGATACAGGGAAGCCTTTAGTTAGAAGCGCTTGGAAGAACTGTAGGTATTCTTTTTGAGTGTGTTACTAAGAGGCCCAAGGACAATTTTACTTTTAGCCAAGAAACTGGCTACTTTGCTTTGAGGTCTTTTTACCCTAACTGCCTAGCGAATTGCTACCTCCTGTTCTTATCACACCATCCTCTAAAGAGGTTATCCAAATTGCCAATAGGGAATTGGAATACAGACCACTCTGGCTTCTTCCATGCTGAACAGGGATGAAGGGTGAAGCAATTGGAGTACCCCTTCAGTGGGTCTATCTAAAAGACTTCCAAATTGCATAGCTCTTATCTCTAAGGGGAAAAGAAAGCCCTTGAATCCTGAATAGGAAATGTGAAAGAGAAGTAAAGGCAAGAGTAATTAACATTACAAGTTCTAGACAGGGAACTAGAAAAAGAACAGGGCAGTTTTCAAATGTTCTTATGAGAGTCCATTGGAATTTCTTGACAAGGGCTCCAAAAGCATCCCTCCATTGGGTTACTCCTCATTTTTCTTTTGTCTTCCAAGGCTGGACTCTAGCGTGATGGATTCTGAATTTGCTTTCAGGTATTTTGATAGCTGTTGGAGTGGTTAGAATTAGTGTCAATTCCCTCTCAAAAGCTTGTAGACAGGGGGTGAAAACAAATTTATCCATCATTTTAGAGCAATGGTGGGTTGTCTCCCTTAGCTACAGGTGGTCACTACAGCATTGGAGACCAATATTTGAAGTCTTACATCTGAGCAGTACTTTCTGGTTAGGAATAAAATCATCAATGAGAAATAATTGTCTAAATAACTTTCTATATAGACTTAAGCATAATGTCTGGGAAGTATAATCCTTTGAACTCTTAAGTATATGATGACTTTACTCTTTGGTTATACTTTCCTTTTGGATGTTTAAGACCATACAATTGGCCCAAATAAATCAATTTATTTTTACACTTAAGGTCATTTGAGGATCTGTTCCTCAGGGGGTCACATGGGCTTGGGAGGAGCTCCTGGCTCCTTTCTTTTACCAGTGCCATTCATGTGAAGATAAGTCAAAGGTCCTGCTTGACCATGACTGACTCCACTTGGAAGCATGGAGGAAATGTTCTCTCTATGTTGATCCTCCTCTTTGTAGACTGGGCACTGGTTCAAGACCATCTGGTTGGGTCTCCATGGCTCCCTGAACAAGAGGACAGGTGACTCACCACAGTTACAGGACATTTTGAAAGATGTCCCTTAGTCCCCTGGATCTTAGTCAACCTTGGAGGGCAAGGTGCAAAAACTGTCCTTTAAAACCCTCCGACCACATTAGCACAGGCCTCAAACTATGGCTGTTAAACATCCAAAAAGGTTAGTTCCACCAGTCTGGTACTTTTAATTATCATTTGCTATGTAGATAATGCTTGGGCAAAAAACCAAATATTCTCATAAAAACATTGACTACACATACATTTTGTTCCTTAAACTATTTGACTAAACTATGACCATAGAAATTTTAAGATTATGTGTATATTATTTTTGTTTCATCCTTTATATATCATAACAAATCTGTGCAGACCTTCATCACTTGCTTAGGCTTTCTCATTTTTTCTATGTTGGAAAATATCTCCATTCCCATATCCTTATAACATCTTTTACATTCTCATTTTCTTTTTTAAAAAAAAATTTTGAGATATAATAGCATTAAATAAATTTTCTTTCTGCTGTGAGACTTCTTTTCCTGGGGATGCTAGGCAATGCTTATTCCCTTTTAAGGTTCTAGTGTCAAACCCATGTTTGATTAAAGTTTTACTGGGGGAACCAATTAATTTATTGAGCTTACTTACTGAGATAACTGAGGGGTTGCTGAGGTGTATGTATGACCTGAGAGTATGCATACTGGAAAGCCTTTAGCCAACATGGGTCATGCCTTCTCTTCCTAGCCTTCCCAAGATTTTATACTTTAGCCCTCCCCAAGTCCAGGAGGCCATGTGTGATTAGGGCCAAATTACATACAGTTGACTGGGAACATTGGCTGAATAATACAGTGAGGGTCCGATGACCCTGCTTGGCCCTCTTTTAATGAATGAACAAAACTGTCAACAAGCCCAATTGTGATGATGTTTAGCAATCAGGCTCAGCTGAAGTCATGATGATGGTAGTTATTTCATGCAGAGGGGACTGCTGTATAGCATCATCTTATTAAAAGGACCTGATATTTTAAAGGATTTGGTGCTAGAATCTACATGAGGGAGAACATACATCATTTGTTTTTCTTAGTCTGTGTTTCTTCATTTAGTATAACAGTTTCTAGATCCATTCATTTACCTGCAAATTTCATTATTTCATCTTTCTTTACTGCTGAGTAGAACTCCATTGTGTAAATATACGATATTTTTGTTAACCACTCCTCAGTTGAAGGGCACTTAGGTTGTTTCCATCTCTTAGCTATTGTGAAAAGAGCAGCAACAAACATGGTTGTACAAGTGTTTCTACAACAGGATGAGTTCTTTGGGTATATGTCAAGGAGTGCTATAACCAGGTCATATGGTAGGTTCATTTTTAGTTGTTTGGTTTTTTTGGGGGGCGGGGTTGTACATAAAAAGGCTTTATTTTCAGGGGAGCAGGAATTCAGTCAAACAAACCAAATCCCATGTCGTCATCTGACTCCTTGAACACCTCCTTCTTCTCATCTTTCTTCTCCTCGGCAGCAGGGGCAGAGCCAGCTGCAGGAGCTGCAGAGCCAGGGCCAGCAGAGACAGCCACAGCCCCACCAGCAAGTACACTAGCGAGCTTTCCAACAACCTGAGAAACGACATCTTCAATGTTTTTACTATTCAGCTTACTGATGACTTTGTTGAGCCGGTCATCGTCCGCCTTAATGCCCACTCTCTCTAGGATCTTCTTGATGTCCTTGGTGCTGTGGGAGGAGTTTAAGATTTCTCCACACTGCTTTCCATAGAAGTTGCATGAGTTTGCAATCCCACCAGCAGTGAATGAGCATTCCCCTTTCTCTATATCCTCACCAGCAATTGGTATCATTTATTCTCTTGATCCTAGCCAGTCTGATTGGGATAAGGTGATACCTTAGGGTGGTTTTAATTGGCATTTCCTTAATTACTAATGATGTTGAACACTTTTTGAGATGCTTCTCAGCCATCTTTATTTCTTCCTTTGAGAACTCTCTTTTTAGATCTTTAGCCCATCTTTTAATTGGGTCATTTCATTTCTTGATTCTTTGTTCTTTGTTTTTTTTATATATTCTGTATGTTAAACCTCTGTCAGATGTATCCCTGGTGAAGATTTTTTGCCATTTCTCTTCACATTTTTGATTGTTTCTTTTGCTGTACAGAAGATTTTTAGTTTAATGAAGTCCCACTTATTGATTGCTGACCTTAATTCCTGAGTGTTAATTCCTGAGCAATTTCTGATTTAGAAAATCCCTTCCTACACCTATATGTCACTGCCAACATTTTCTTATAATAGTTTCAAAGTTTCCAGTTTCACATTGAGGTCATGGTTCCATTTGAAATTGACTTTTGTGTAAGGTGAAAGATAAGGATCTAGTTTCATTCTTCTGCAGGTAGAGATCCAGTTTTGCCAGCACCATTTGTTGAGGTTGCTATCTTTCCCCTATTGTGTGTTCTTGGCACCTTTGTCAAATATCAGGTGGCTTAATTTGGATGTACACAGGTTTTGTTCTTCAATGATGTTCCATTGATCTATGTGTCTTTTCTTGGGCCAGTACCATGCTTTTTTATGACTATAGCTCCATAGTATACTTTGAGATCTGGTATAGTAAAATCCTCAGCATGGCTCTTATTGCTCAGGGTTGCCTTGGCTATCCGGGGTCTTTTGTGTTTCCATATGAATTTGAGGATTTTTTTTTTCTAATTCCAAGAAGTATGTCATGGGGATTTTGATTGGGATTGCATTGAATCTATATATTGCTTTTGGTAGGATGGTCATTTTCACAATATTCTTCCAATCCATGAGCATGGGAGGTCCTTCCATCTCCTGGTGTCTTCCTCAGTCTCTTTCTTTAACAATTTAAAATGTGCATTGTAGAGATCTTTGGTGTCTTTGGTCAGATTTATTAAAGGATGTTTTATTTTTATTGA